TCTACCCCTGTGTTTTCCCTGGTTCTTTGTCTAGTCTAGTCTGCTTACTGGCTGTTGAGTGTTTGGTTCACCGTTCATGGTTTCTGTTATTTACTTCAATAAAGTTAATCTGCATTTGGATCCTCTTGCTTTTGTCCACCGTCATCTCACTAAGTGTAATAGGGCCTCTGAATAAAATGTAGGTGTTTTTTTCCTTCTCTAGAGCTTCATGTTCTCACAGTATAATACTATATTGCCCATAAATTCATGATTTATCAAATATGATGTTCAACAAATGCAACTTTTTTAAATGTTATTTAAAGGTTCAGGTTTTTTCGGACTATTATTTCATATGTCCGGCTTTACAGGGGTTTAGAATTTGTAGTATGTGTGATGATTGGGAGCCACTGGAGCTAGGGAAGCACAGTACTAACCTGTACTAACCTTTTTTAATCTTACGCCTTGCAGAGATGCAGAGCACTGGATATCTTGTAACATCTGAAGCACTTTAGAAGACCAAGAAATTAGTTTAAATTCCTACTATTAAGAATGAAGAAATGATAGTTCACTATCATAGTTCAAAAATTATGATATAATGTGTTCTTTCTCTGATGATGTTTCAATAAGACATAATTACATGTCCTCAATATCCAACTTCAACCTAAAATCCTAATCAAATAACAAAAGCCAGGTCCTTCATAATGTCATCCTTCAGGAAATGACATTATTTTGGAGGGAAAACAGAACATTAGTATGTGTTAGCAATGGATTTGATTCATTCTGTAATGTTTTGTGGTATTAATTGGTTTGCTTGACTGTAAAACATGTAGTCTGTTTGATAAAATAACATAAACTTGCAGGATATTGTCAAAAAATAAATAAAATAAATTTGACACCCTTTCTTTTAACCCCACACTAAGCAATTTGTAAAAATCAAACTGTGGTCTGAGCTTGACACAGCATATATTTGAAAGTCTGGTTTGCCCTTTTATATAAATGCTTCCTTAAATTACAATTGTGCATATTCTTTTTTTATGTTATTGAGTTCAAAAGGTACTGCATATCAGGAATGACTCAGTTCTAGCATCTAAGCATGATCTAATGAGTTTCAGCATTGCCATTTATGCTGAGAGTGGGACAGAGGCAGGGCAGACATTACGGCAGTGACTGAAAGAAGTTTTCATGATACAGCTATCACTAGGAATCAGTGATCACATCAGGGGTGATTCCAGGATTTTCATTTAAGGGGAATATATACTGTATGTATATATATATATATATATATATATA